TAAGGTTTATTAACAATAAGATAGAAAATTGAGCAAGTGTATACAATAATTTTGTAGAAAAAAAGAATCTGCTCAATTCCATATTTCATCCATGAAAAACTTGCAATACGAGCAGTTTCAAGGAATAAAGAAAAAAAAAAGAGTTTATAGGTCAGCCAGGTCTGGTGGCTCACGCCTGTAATCCTAGCACTGTGGGAGGCCAGCGGATCACTTGAGGTCAGTTCGAGACCAGCCTGGCCGACATGGTGAACCCCTGTGTCTACTAAAAACAAAAACAAAAACCAAAATTAGCCGGGTGTGGTGGTGTGTGCCTGTAGTCCCAGCTACTCGAGAGCCTGAGGCATGAGAATTGTCTGAACCTGGGAGGCGGAGGTTGCAGTGAGCCGAGCTCGTGCCACTGCACTCCAGCCTGGGTGACAGAGTGAGACTCTGTCTCAAAAAAAAAAAAAAAAAAAAAAGGTTTATGGGTAATTTGTGATTTATTTATTTCTGTAAAATGCCCATTCCCATCTTTAGCCAACTTTCAATTGGGTGATTTTTATATTAAGACAAACTTTATATATTAAACATTGATTTTTAAATTATTTACTATATCCAGTCAACAGCTTTCTTTAAGAACTTTCTAGTGCAAAATAGAAGAGTGGTAGAACTTGAGTACGAAAAGGAAACAAATTTAATTAATTAAATGTGTCTTTGATTAACAGAAAAATAATATAAGCTACAATAATATTGTTATTTCAGAATCCCCCAGTTACAAAGTAACAGTGAGAAGATGGTGATCTACCAAAATTTACTTGTGACAAAATTCTAGTGTAGTCTTTTTTAAGAAATGATAGAAGAAAGTGATTGGATTACAAATAAGATTAATATAATGATACATCAGTATTATGAGCATCTTTCTTACATAAATAATATTTTCTGAAGATATGGATAGCAAAAAAAAGGTAGCACAATAAAATTATACAGAGACAACTTATTAAAATAAATAAACATGCTCAGTTCATTGTAAGGAAATAAATTTTTTTTTCTGAAAACAAATAGAAAGAAAATAATAACTATGTTAGCCCAGAGAAAGGAATACACTTGAATTATAGATGAACAAGGGCATATACTGTATATGACTAACACGTAACCATGAAGAATAGGTTAAGATAAGGGAAAAGCAGCAGAAACATCAGTTTTCAGGCAGATACATTATTACAGTGTACCCAGTTAGTTTATGTCACTTTTTAAAAGTCATTTAAATAAATTTATTTGTGGAAGAAAAAATATCTGAACATCAGGTATGGTTTGATCCGCAATGATCCAGCAATCTGTCATAACTCACTCTAGGAGTATTCTTACACAGTTTGCAAGAGAAATTACATGTGGAGCTACAGGTGAACATTTATCAAAATTCGTAAAGCTGTTTAACCTGAGTGTTACACAGTACATAGTGACCATCATACAATAGTAAAAATACAATATCAGATACTATTTTTACAAGCTATGATGTAAACAATTTAGGCTCTTTTTTAAAAAAAAATCACAAAAATTTGATTACAGCTTTATTTCAAGAATTTTCAGTTAGACACAGGTTTATATATTTTAACTCAAAATAGCAAAAGACCTTCTGTAGGTAAAATATATTCTGTGTTTAAATGCTTGCATTCTGAAGTATGACTTGCCATGTATGAGTTCAGGTGGAACGATGAAGCTGCTGTAGCAAAATCCTGGCTGATGATGAAGACTCGGACACTTTTCATCTTTCATGCAGTCATTCAATATTTTGTGTATTTACATGAAGGGGAAAAGAGGGGAGGATACAAAGGGAGCCAGCATTCTTTTTGGATGAAGCAGCCTAATTCCAGAGAACAGGCTTTCCATTTTGAACTCAAAGGGTGTGATCCACAAATTGAATTCTTACCAGTCCAGGGAGCTGCCTTTGGCCTGGGAGGCAACACTTGATGATGAAGTGAGCTAAAGGGAAGTGTTAACTGAACTACAGGGATGGTCGCCTGTAAAACAAGTTTCCAAACATGCTCAGGCCCACGCAGAGGTGAGGTGTAGCCAGAACTATCAATTTAAAAAAATGCATTCACAGATGCAGACACAGAACTTGTAGGAAGAGTAACAGTTCTAGAGGCCTGGTTGTGGTTTCTAATATCTGCCTTCACCACCCTCTGTGACTCTTCTATTTTTCTGCTTTGTTTAATTTGATTCCAAGGATTTCATTAGCAACTTTCTGAAAATACAGGAAGATACAGTCTCCTGTCTTGGCTGAGATAAAGTGGCTACTAAAACCATTTTCCTGGCAAAACCATAAGTGTTTTTCAGGTTTTACTGTTTCCATATGCTCCAAATCAATTATATTGCTCACCAAGGCAACCAGTAGCAAAGTTTCTGACTCTTCCCTCCCTTTCTTCAGTACGATGTACCGATCTTTTAAATTCCCCAAGCTTTGCTAATTTGTAACATCATATGTCTAGAGGATTCTCTGTGGTCCATAGATAAATGTACCCACTATCTTGCCGCCTATTGTACACACTCCCTACATCCCATACTTGAAGAGTAACCTTCAAGTTTCCTGGCAATGTTATCCCGCTCAAAAAAAAAAAAATCACCACTATAGTTTAGTTTTCTTTGTTCCCAAAAGTTTCTTGAGCAAAACTCATAGGTTGAAGTGGCAGAGGGAGAAGGAAAGGAGAGCACCTCTGTGGACAGGGAGAGAAGGAAGGGAGCAGGACCTTGCCCTGGGATCTGGATGCCCTGGAGAGATCAAGGGAAAATATCACTCACCAGGCACCATCGTGCCCATCTCCCCTCCCCATTAGTTGATGATACTTTTGTTAAATGAACCAGTACTTTCACATGCTTTTAAGTAAAAATGAAATTTAATTGGAAGGACCCCAATCAAACGTGGTATCTCTTGAGTTCTCTCTCACTGTGGATGACAAAGGCTGTTGTCAAAGTTGATTTTATTCAATTAACTTGATGAACATTAAACAACCTGTGTAAGCCCAGAAAATGGGCGTTCTGGGAGATCAGTTATTACAGAAATGCAGAGGTGTCCTAACTCGTGTCATGTGAAGGTTGCCATGATGCAGATCACGACATGGCTATGAATGTGCAGGCTATGGTTTGCCCTGACTTGGGTCCATGACTGTGCCTTGAGGGTGGAAGAAACACCAGAGCGCCATCAGATAAGATGGCTGGAGGGCATGACAAGAACCATGAAGGTAAGACCAGACCCTGCATGCAAGATGAATGCTAGCATCTGGCTGAATAGAGGAATTTGAACAAACAAAATCCTTTTTCCACAAGCTCTTCACATAATCCTACTCCACCTGGAGCGTCATGACTGAAATGAGTGGTTATCTATATTCAGGTCTAGTCAGATGTGCTGATTAATTATAGTTGAGGAGCATACATGTATCATGCTTTCTTACATATTTAATCTATCCCATGTATACATAAGATTTTGAAGGATAAATTATTGATTAGCATTAAAGTGTAAAATTTACTTGATAACTATAAAATGTCTTAAATACACTAGTATGAATTTTGAAATTATGCCAAATGACCAATGTGAAGGGTAATGTTACTATGCTGGGTATGTCTTGCCACTGCGTCCTTTAGGAGATTTCTGTAGTATCACAGTGAAGTCCACCTGTGTGTGAGAGAGAGGCTTGTGCTCGCCTTCCTTACCAGCAATGGAAAAGTGTTCAGAGGACCCAGCTTGACCTGAGTATGAAAACAAACCAAAGCCAGCTCTCCTGTAATGTGTGCTCACATCCCTGAAAGAAAAGCAAGAAAATCCCAAACTCCAGATTTTCTAATATAAGCTCTAGTGAAATACTTACCTTTCTTGAGTCAAAGCAGAAGCAGCTGCTAACTAGAAATGTCAGCCTGCTGCCTCCTGCCAGAGCTTTTCTATGGCTGTTCTGGGGTGAAGAGGGTGGAGTCTCTGGCTTTCTTACCACAGGTGATCAGGTAAGAAGGAACCACAGTATCCTCTATGAAGAAATGCTGTCCGAGATGCTACCTGGAATCCAAAGGTTTTCTAAAGAAGACCTGGGAGGGGACTCCACCCCCGTCAACCAATACCAGCCCAGCCCAAAGCCTGCAAATTTGCTTCTTTCTGACACCCAGAGGAGAAACAATCACCAGCTCTTTTCCAGTGAGTCCAGCACTGTCTGCAATTGGATTTGCTTTAGTTGCAAGGATTGTAGGCTAGTTGATGGTGTGTGTGTGTGTGTGTGTGTGTGTGAAGCTTGAGGCACCTGGTGTTAGTTTTACTATCCAGTTGTATTAAAATTGGCATGAAATTTCCTATCTAGAATTTCAAGCCTCCAGCTGTGAGCCTTATTCAGCAATCATTGATTTCATCACCAAAAAAGATAAAACCAGGAAATAAAATGTGTGTCAGAGAGTCCAACTGATTGTTTCTTTTACCCTTAACTAACTCCCTTTCCCGTGCCCCTCCCCTGCACCTACTGGTTTTCTGAGTTTTTTTTTTTCCCCTCAGTCTTTAGTAAACTAATTTTAAATGTGTAAATGGGGTCACCAGGTCAGAGAGTGAGCTTCTTCACCCAGGGAAGAACCATGCCATGGATCCCAATGATAAGTTCTCCTTATGGAGCTAAAGTCTTTCACTGGAGCTGTTTCCAGTGTCACTTGATGTAGCATTTGGGATAGTCTCATCGTGGAGCACCACCACTATCCTAGTTGGCCGATACCTGTTTCATCTAAGAGGAGAATCAGGTAAGTTGTCCTTAAGCGCCTTTGGGAAATCGTGCCGTTCAGAGAGCTGCGTTGTGCTTACGCCTCTGGAAGGTCTTGCTGTCCATGCGCTGACTCTTCTAACTCCATGTCCCCCATTCCTGGGGGTGTTTGCCAGCAGGATGGAATGATGGCTCACTGAAAACTTAAGATGACATGGAAGATGACAAGGGAGATGAGAAAGTCCTGCCTAGTAATGACAGGAAGATGGGCACAATGCAGTGACCTCACAGGTCTCCATGCCTCAGCTCAGCTCTGATGAAGAGGCTCATGTCATACAGTCTCTTCAGATGATTGCAGAGAAAAAGGTGGTGACAGAGAGGCAGATGTTTTACTGTTTCCACTTCTGGAACTTGCTGCAGGGTATGAAGAGGGTCAGCACCAGAAAAGGTATAGAATATCATGTCTGCAATGGATGAAGCCATCAAAGGATGGCTTCACTTCACCACCAGACAGCACTGACCAACCTATGGCAATAAGTCCCGCAGACCAGAATGACACCCATCAAATGCCTCACTCACCATATGTCAGCCCAGAATACTCTTACAGCGGTGAACCAGTCTCTTTATCCACCAAGCCTGACCCAGCAGGCAGGAGAGGCCCAGTACCAGGATGATCATCCACAATAAACCTGCACACTGCACGGAGGATGGAGGCCAGCCCTAACAGCCCACAGCCCTCAGGAGGGAGAGGCAGTAAAGGGCTTCTTCTCTTCTTGTCCTGATGAATGGGTATTGCACCAGGAAGATGAACATTTGGAGTCGGTGATCAGAACCTCAGTCCAGCCACCATCTCCTCTATGATGACGACCAAGATGGGCGAACCTTCTGAAGGCAAAGGTCCAACCAACATCCTGGGTGGCTGGCATTTTCTGAATTTCTAAAGGCCATCACAAAGTGCAGCAGGAATGGGAGTATTTGGTGCACTTTGATTTTGCAGTTGCCTCTGATGACCAAGAGATGGAGGGCCAAATATTTATCCTCACCCAAGGCCCAGGTCATATTTCTGCAGCATAGCTGTGACCCTCACCCCACCTACACCCAGTAGCACAATCTCCAGTAATATTTGCAAATGGTTATACTAACATCAGGTTATAAAAGCTTTTTGTTTTTGAGTTACATTTTTAAAATATAATATGTCTTGTTTTTTTATGTTTGTCTTCATGTGGTACATTTTCCAGGATAAGATGGGCTGTGCTGTAATGGCAAATAAACCCTGCGAGTCTCAGTGGCTGGCCTCCTCAAAGTTTATTTCTTGCTCACAGGGTCTGTTGTGAGACCAGAGACTCTCCAGAGCAGCTCCCCTTCCACCCCTGCCCAGGAAATAGAACATGTGCACAACTGAGACGAATCGTGTAGAAAAACAAGGTGATTTTCCTAGAGAAGGACTGGAGTGCTTTGCTAGTATCAGTCACTATGATAAAAGGTGGAGAAGAACTATTCTATTTCTTTCATCATCTAAGAGACAGAGTACTCACTTGGAGTGAAATATTTAAACTATTTCTTTATCCCTTGAATTAAAAGACCTTAATAACATGAATTCATAACTCAAATATAGATAATAAACCAAGCATAGTTTGGCAAAACAATATTTATTTCCTCTTGAAATGCCAAGGCTATTTTCTCATGTAAATTACATATGTATCTATATACATATTTTCAACAACTGAAATTAATTTTAACATCTTTAAAACACCAAATAGTATCATATTTCCTGTAAAATGGCTGGTTACCTCAAAGGCAGTATTTTAACATCCTTAGCTGCTTTAAAAGATTATCAGCAGTCTACAGTAAATATTACATGAGACATTTAAAGAATGGCGATTGATTTCATCATTTAAAAATCTTAGTCAAGAAGAGGCAAGAGCAATTTCTTAGAATCAAAGCTCCTTCATTGGGAAATCATTCATCTTGGAAAAAGCAGAAATATTTTAGCTAATAAAAAATATGTTATTACTAAATTAGCATTGAAGAACTTGTAAAAAATCTCATTTTACTTTAATTTGTTAAAGTCAAAGCCTTATATGCACCTTTGATTTTTATAATATTTTAACTATTTGAAAATAAAATATTAAGCATCAAAAGCAAATAGAAAAAAATAAAAATAAAATGAAAACCAATGAAATAGAACACAGACCAATAATAAAATCTGTGCTGCCAAAAGCTGATGCTTTGAAAAGATTATTAAAACCTGCAAAACACCTAGCAAAAGGAAAACATCACCAATATCAAGAATATAAAATGGGACATCATTATAGACCCTAGAAATGCTACAAGGATTATAATAATATATGCTGAACAACTTTATGGCAAGAAATTTGACAATTTAAGTGAAAAGCATGCATTTCAATTGTTTATGGTATAGTTACTTGCAACTCTGGAGAGTCCACATAATTCATATAGCAGCCATCTTCTAGCTTTGTGGGTTCTCTGTAAAAAAGAAACTGGAAGACTCACAGTAAACGAATGACATATACTTTCCACCCTTATATGAGTAGAGAATAATCTGCTAGAGCTTGCAATGCTGAGGTTTAGCAGAACCACTTCAGATATTATTACCAGCAGAGAAGATTAAGTTTGGGTGTGACCCACAACCCCATCACCCCTGAGCACGCCTGATCTCACCTGATCTTGGAAACGTGTGTGTCTCTTATAGCCTTATACCTAAATATGGCTAAGCAATGTGGTTAGAACTCAATATCATGTTGCCTCTTGGACCCATAAAATCAAGTGATAAATTTTGGCACACTGCTCCCACTCTCACTCCATATACAGATGCACACACAAACACCTGCACACACTTCACAGAATTAGCAGATACACATACACACTGACACTCACATAGTCATATATCTTCTCTCTCCCACACGCAGACACATATACTCCACAAATTCTTGCTAACTGCATCTTTGAATGCCAGTTTAAAAGGAAAATTAATGTCTACATATTTATAAAAATGTTTGACTTCACTATTGATTATGAGTATGCCCACTAAATCCATTTATTCCAATGAAGTATTTAGAAACTATAGTCAATGGGTTTATCCTTGTCACCAGCGACCAGCACATAGCACATCTCTTGGAGGAAGATTAAAAGTAGCAACTATGAAAACGTGCTAAACTCAATTAGAAACCATTGACTAAAAAAGTTAATGTCATTATTTGAATTTACAAAACCATATTTTCAAATAATCCATTCCATGCCTATGAGTAGATTATTTGAAAACATAAATATAATTAGCTTTGTAAATGGTCTACACAATGGGTCAACCAGACTGTACAGGGACTTGACATTGCTGGCCTCATATCTAGGGTGTTTGTACTCACAGAATAGGCTGTTTTCTTAAAATAATCTATATAAAATGTCTTGAATTAATCAGGATGAATAAACGCCTAATTTAATTGTATTTGTGCAATGCAGCAGAAATGACAATTGTTACTGATAAAACATTATCATCCTTTATGTATTTATTCCTTAAGCTACACTATCTTTTTGAAATTTATATTGTAATAGATATTCTACTTCATGTCCAGGGACCATTTTTTTCTTTGTAAAATAATGGCAAATATAGCATCTACATAGCAGACATAGGCTCTGATTTTCAAAGCAAAATCTGCTCACCAGTGATTTATCAAAATCATTGCTTCAGTATAACACTGTAACACTGTGAGACTTAGCAAATTATATCAAAATTATGCAAAAGTGGCTAGCGATTTTGAAGCGAAGCTGTATTTGTGAAATCTTGAAGTTATCTATGGCTCTTAAAATAGCTGTTCACGAATCTGAAAGGAAGTCCACTAACCTTTGAGGAAGAACCCAGGTAGGTGAATAAAACTTCCTGTAGTGCAAGGTTTTCTTACTATCTTCATTTAGTGCATCTTTCAGTTGTCTCATCTCTTCCTCTAACAAAGCACTGAATATTGCATCTTACGCTATCTTATCGGGTGCTAACTCCTGTTCACTCTGATCTAGAATGTTTACTTTTCTATGTAAGCTCCCTCTGCGGAAAGTAATAACTGCCATGCCTCCTGCATTTCTACACACGGTAAAAAAGAAACTACATATTTATTTGTGCCTGTGGTGACTGCTTCTTTGGAATTTACAGCAGTGTTCCGTTTTCCTCAGGAGAGTTGAGAGTGATTTTTACTTAGAAATTAGATCAGTTCTACTTTTTGATTCTCCTCCGCCTCTTTCTTCTTCTTCCCCTACTCCCTTTCCCCCTTCCTGCTTCTTTCTCTCTTTTGCTGTCTACACCTCTTCCTCCCCCTCCTCCTCACTCTTGTTCTCTCTTCTGCCAGTCATGTATGTCAAAGTGTGTCCAGAATTGGTGGGTTCTTGGTCTTGCTGACTTCAAGAATGAAGCCATGGACCCTCACAGTGTTACACTTCTTAAAGACAGTATGTCTGGAGTTTGTTCCTTCAGACGTTCAGATGTGTCTGGAGCTTCTCCCTTCTGGCAGGTTCATGGTCTTCTCCACAAGACTGAAGCATAGATTTTCGCAGTGAGTGTTACAGCTCTTTCACGTGTGGAATTGTTCGGTCTCCTCTCCTCCCGTGTTCGTGGTCTCCCTGGCTTCAAGAGTGAAACTGCACACCTTTGCAGAGAGTGTTACAGCTTTTAAAAGCCGTGTGGACCCAAACAGTAGGCAGCAAGATGATTTATTGTAAACAGCAAAAGAACAAATCTCCCACGCTTTGGGCACCTGAGCAGGTTGCCGCTGACTAGGTCAGGCAGTCTGCTTTTATTCCCTTTTCTGGCTGCACGCACATCCTGCTGATTGGTCCATTTTACAGAGAGCTGATTGGTCCATTTTGACAGAATGTTGATTGGTGTATTTACAATCCTTGAGCTAGACACAGGGTGCTGATTGGTGTATTTACAATCCCTTAACTAGACATAAATATTCTCCAAGTCCCCACTAGACTCAGGAGCCCAGCTAGCTTCACCTGGTGGATCCTGCACCTGGTCTGCAGGCCTGAGGTTGCAGTTAGCGGAGCTGGAGCCATTGCACTCCAGCCTGGACAACAAGAGGGAAACACTGTCTCAAAAACAGGAGAAAGAAAAAAAAGAAAAGAAAAAAAGAATCTCCAAATGTTCAAATAAACTCTATAAAATTTAAATGTGTTTTATTTTTTCTCTTACTGTTAGGAAATTGGTATTTTAAGTGAAAACAACTATTCAGTGATTGTTTCTAGAAGAACTCCATTTTGTGGAAGCTCCTCTGAGACTTACATAAACCCTTTAGGGGAGCTCCTGGGAGAGCCTGAGCTTCTCCTGATTCAGGTTCCCTTTGGAGTGTTCACTAAGAGTCTTCTCTTTGCCGAGTTATGGTAACAAGGTTGTTGAAAATGGAAGAGTATCTTCAGCCGTGAACTTACTTTGCAACATTC